AGTTGACACGTGACTTTTGGCGAAACGCTCGTTTTGGAGACTTGACGCGTGACTTTAGGAGGAAGTCTCGTACGAAACGCTCGTCTTGCAGCCTCGAAGCGTGACGTTTGGAGGAAATCTCGTAGGAAACGCTCGCGTGACTGCTTCTAGTGCGTGGGCAGACCGTGTCGCGACACGAGTGTCCCACAAGAGTGTCCCACAAGAGTGTTCCACAAGAGTGTCCTGTCCCACAAGAGTGTCTCACAAGAGTGTCCCTTAAGAGTGTCCCACAAGAGTGTCCTATAAGAGTGCCCCACAAGAGTGTCCTACAAGAGTGTCCCACAAGAGTTTCCTACAAGAGTGTCACACAAGAGTGTCCCACAAGAGTGTCCCACAAGAGTGTCCTACAAGAGTGTCCTACAAGAGTGTCCTGTAAGAGTGACCCACAAGAGTGTCCTACAAGAGTGTGTCACAAGACTGTCCCACAAGAATGTCCGACAAGAGTGTCCCATAAGAGTGACCCACAAGAGTGCTTTTGAGAGTGTCCCACAAAGAGTGTCCTACAAGAGTGTCGTGTAAGAGTGACCCACAAGAGTGTCCTACAAGAGTGTCTCGCAAGAGAGTGTCCCATAAGAGTGACACACAAGAGTGCCCCACAAGAGTGTCCCACAAGAGTGTCCCACTAGAGTGCCCCGTAAGAGTGGCCCACAAGAGTGTCCTACAAGAGCGTCCCACAAGAGTGTTCCACAAGAGTGTCCCGCAAGAGTGTCCTACAAGAGTGTCCCAAAACAGTCCCCCCCAAGAGTTTCCTACAAGGGTGTCCTACAAGAGTGTCCCACAAGAGTGTCCCAGAAGAGTGTCCCGCAAGAGTGTCCTACAAGAGTGTCCCGAAACAGTGCCCCGCAAGAGTTTCCTACAAGAGTGACCCACAAGAGTCCTACAAGATTGTCCCACAAGAGTTTTCCACAACAGTGGCCTATATGAGTGTCCCACAAGAGTGTCCTAGAAGAGTGTCCCACAAGAGTTTCCTACAAGAGTGACCCACCAGAGTGTCCTATAAGAGTGCCCCACAAGAGTGTCTTACAAGAGTGTCCCACAAGAGTTTCCTACAAGAGTGTCCTATAACAGTGTCCCACAAGAGTGTCCCACAAGAGTGTCTCACAAGAGTGTCCCACAAGAGTGCCCTACAAGAGTGTCTCACAAGAGTGTCCTAC